CTTAACTTGAGGAATGTAACGGCTACGAAACATCTCTCTAAACTGATCCCAAGATAACGCAACCCTCTGCTCATCAGAATACGATCCCGTAACAAGTCTCCACCAATCCTTCGCTCCGGACCTCAAAAGGTTCAGAGAGCACCTGACCTTTTGGTCAGTAGGGAATGAACACGTGAAGAAACACCCCTCTACATCAAATAGCCACCTCATGGCCACAATCAGGTCCTGGACTCCATTGAAAGTTGGGGGCTTCGTATTATCGAAGTCCCGATACTAAAAGGCCCGCCTTGGCCTAACACCCACAACGGCTACAGCTGCGGAGGTTGCAGCAGCAACAGTCTCGGCAATGGCTGTGTATCTCTCATCAAAAAGCTCCATCATAACGGTCTTGATAGACCCAAACATCTCCGGAATCTAACCCCGTACGATGGTCACGACCTCCTCATGGAGGATCCTCCTGATCCTGGCATCCAATTCCTCTGACCTCATCTGACTGTCAACCCCTGATCCCGACCCGGATCCAATCTCAACTCGCGTCGTAGTCACAATACTGAAAATACACAAGGAAGACATCAGAAAATCCACATAAATAACCTGGAATTAACTCACAACGAAGCCCTAGGGGTTGTGACTTCCTTGCTACGTGCATGGTTCATGTGCTTTCAGTAGTACATGCCCATACTACCTTCCACACCTACTCGTGTTTGTCTAAAGGATCATCATAACACCCTAAAAATACTCATAAGAATATACGAACACTTAGTCCTCACTCCTAGAGGAAAGGCTAAATATCTCACTACTGGCCGACTAACCCCTCACGACTCATCCATGAAACTTTCACCAACCCTGCAACGCTCATATATACTAGCCATACATTACACTGGACCCTATAGATATTCGAATATCTGATCCTACCCTAAGCCCTTCATCAAACAAGAACAAGAAATAAGGACAAACCAAACATTCTCAGGCTATAAGATCTTAGTTATATATAACTGTGATGCATACACTAAGCCACTACAGCAATGATGTCAAATTCATAAAAGAAAGGCCCTAGGCTATCAGGCATCATATAATCAGACAATTCTATCATGCAATTCCTGAAGATCCTTAGCCTATCACTAGCATGTTGTTCTATCATATCACAATATCAAATAATAGTACGGTATTTTGGGGTCTACTTACTGGCTCCGACTGATCATACACATCGCATCCTCCTTTAGTATTTTGAAAACCGTTTGAAAATCATTTTGAAAATCTTTTCCTTAGTCTGAGATTGGATTCACACGAGTGTTCCTCTAATTTCACTCAACCAAGGCTCTAATACCAACTTGTAACACCCATAAAATTCATGAAAAATTTGAACTTTTTAAAACATACAAAATCATCATCGTTTACAAACTGTTTCCAAAATAAGAGTCATATCAGAGATATCCCAAAATCGTGAAATAAAAACATGAGGAGGTGCACCATCACGCCTTCACCTTCTCGCGATCATGAGAAGTACCTGAAACATAATCCCACAACTTTAAGCCCAAAGCTTAGTGAGTTTCCCCCAAAATACCAATACATAACAAATAACATCATATAATAACAACATGCAATGGGTCCATAGATTTACAGTCTGGATTACCCCTGAGCCCACAACATAAGTCTGGATTGCCTCACAGGCCCACAACTTATGTCTGGCTTGCTCCCCGACCTGGTCAGTCAAAAGACTGAATATCGCTAAGCCCTCAGTACGAGTCTGGAATGCTCGACCCGACCCTCAGCTCGTAGCTAGAATGCTCATGAGTCATCAGTATGAGTCTGGCATTCCCTCCCTGGCCATCAGCTCATATCTGGCATACTCCAGGGTTTGTTGGTTACAACACAAAACAGTACAACCTCAACCCAACCCACACAATATGTCGACATATAACATATAATATCGTAAACAGATAACAGGCAGTCCTACAGATATACCAGACTAGCATAGCAAGACTAGCATGCATAACTATAACATACTCAACATATCAACAATATCAAGTTATCAAACCAATAGGCCGGCCTTGGTGCCTTCGACTCGAAAGTATAGTGAGGAAGACTCACCTCACAAGCAGCTGAACTGATAAGATGTAACTCCGAAACACAGCTCCCGACTCAAGGCCTACAACCATCATGACCAACCCATCAAAACATCAAAATACCTAAAATGCCTTCAAAGTCAAACTTGGTCAACCATGGTTAAATTCAAAGTCAACAGTCAAGGTCAACAGTCCATGTTGACCCAACTCGTCGAGTACACAACCAACTTATCGAGTTCCTTCAGTACTTAGAGAAACGGGGAAAACCCGAGCCAACTCGTTGAGTTATCAGGACAACTCGTCGAGTTCCTACAGTTTCCAGAGAAGCGGGAAAACCCGATCCAACTCGTCGAGTTGTCAGGACAACTCGTCGAGTTTTCCCAGCTTAACTCATTCAGTCCTTTTTCATCCCTTCTAACGCTCAAGAATATAGATCTGGAACCCAAAAGCAGAGAAACCACGTAAAGTTGCTAACTTTATGTCCATGCATAACATCAAGAGGCTAAAACACTCAAACAAGGCTTAATAAGGGACGTAGAACATGAAGGGAGTCTAGATCTAGATAAAGCTTGAAACTTTAAGCTCAAGGAGGCTACAAAATGCCTAGATCTGAAGTTATAACTTCATGAGATGCTCAAACCAAGAACAAACCCAAAAATGAGCCAAAATGACAATAAACTTCCAAGGAAGAGATGTAAGCAATAGACGAGCAAGTTTTCGACTTTTTACCTCAAAAGAGTAGCTAAACTCAAGAAGATTTTGGATCTAAAGCTTCTCCTTCAAGCTATGCTCCACCAACTTCAAGCTTCTTCTAGAGAACACCAAGGAAACACTCTTTAAGCTCACACACACTCTTAAAAATAGAAGAGAAAACACGAGGTTAGGGTTTCTGGACAGAGGGGGCGATTAGGGAGGCCAACAATGGGACTTAAGACCTTTAAATAGGGTGTAACACCCTAAAAATTAGGGTTTCATATTTAGCCACCAACTCGTCGAGTTTCCTTCTCCAACTTGTCGAGTTGGTCCAAAAGATTCGCGACCCATAGAATTTCAGCACGTTGAGTTGAGACCATCAACTCGACGAGTTCCAATGAAAAATTGCCCTTTTTAAATAGAATTCTCATACTGGGAATCAGGATGTTACATAAATTCCACATAATATTTAAATATAATAATTGCAATAAATTTAATATTAAATGGATATTAATTTCATTAATTGATTACCTTCTAATTTCAAAATTCCTAAATTAAGCTCATTAGTTTTCTTTATTTATTTATCTAAATTATTTGTTTAAATTTAAAAGAGAAAAAAACATTTCAATTTTAGTAATTCAATATTTTTCTCATTTTTCTTATATATTAAAAGTTCTGAAATATTTAGACCTTCGTATTTAATTGTTTCTTAAATAAACTTATGTAATACATGCATCTTATAACTAGTCAATTATAAAACCAAAAAATATCAATTATAAACCCAATAAAAAAGAGTTCCCAATAAAATAGTCTAATAAACCCAAATACTAAGAGGCGTCTGGCAAATGAGCTTGTTAGTTTGTTATCAGTTCTACACTCCTATAAGCAAAAAAAATGTTTGGATAAAAACTGATTATAATGGTGGGAAACCACTAATAAATCATTTTTTAATAAGTTAACTCTTCTAAATTATTAGCTTATAAGCTAATCTAACTTAATAAATAAAAATCATCTAGCCAAATGTCATATTTTAATTTTTTGTGATTTTTTAAATTATATTTTTTCCACTTGTCATTTTCTTGTGTTTTTCATTTTCTTAAATTTAAAATCCACATTTTAGTAATGACTTTTATATGTAAAGTAGATCTTTCTATTAAATTTCAGAACTAATGCTCTGTTTCTTTCATTTCTCTTTCAAATCTCCAAGAATTAAATCTTAAATTACTATGTAACGCATCATTTGTTTTACATTGTCAATCTTTTTTTATTAGTATATATTAAATTATTAAATTATTTATTATATTTTTTGTATTTATATAAAAATATTAATTTAAAAAATATATAATATTTACAACTTTATATTAACTTTTTATTTTTAATAAACTCATATAGTACACCTAATAAACTAATATAAACTAATGACAAAACTACAAAAATGGTCCCTATGGTATGTATTTTTCTGAGGTTTAATCCAAATCTCGAGTTTTTTGGCTTTGCGGTCATTTTGAGCTAGTTTCGTTGCGGATTTGGTCTCTCAGTAAACTGAAATGACTGTAATACCCTTGGGGTATTTATTTTCTATTTTTTTTTTAAATCTAGTACTTATTTATTTATTTAATCAATTAAAAAAGCAATAGTCTCTCTCTCTCTCTCTCTCTCTCTCTCTCTCTCCGTATACCCACCACTATATATTTTTTCTTTTTGGGTTTTCTTTTAACCCAAGAACACTTCACCTCTGTTTACTTTTTCTTTCAAGATGAATTGAAGATGGACATTGTTCACATCCAAAATATGGACAACTTCTTCATAAAAAGCTTGTACCAAATAAAGCCCTTAGGAATCGGATTACACAGTGGTGCATAGTTTACCGGATTCTTTACAATCCATCGGAGAATTCAAATTTATTTGTTGAATCTTTTTCGGTAGCCCCAGAATGTCGGGTGATTGTGGAACATCTTGAACGTTTGTCTCTAATGGAGATTGCGGCGGTGATTTTGAGGATGGTGGGGTATCTGATGGTGTGACGGTGGGTGAGGTGGAGGTGAGAGATGGAAGAAGAGAATGTGAGAATTTGCCAAATAAGTCTCATGATTTTAGCTGTGTGATTTTAGCGGTGATGACAAAAAAACCCTAGAGGCTCAGATTTCGCATCCAAAAAACCCTAAATCTTCAGATCTTGGTTCGTCTTCTCTATGGATCCCGTTTTCAGATAAAAGGATATCGTTTGCATACCTGGTAGCGATGACAAGCTCAAGGTTCGTCTTCTCTAGTGGTGCTGCTGGTGGCGACGACGCTGGAGTTAAAGATCTCATTTGCAGATATGGAAACCCTTTTCGTCGGAAAATCGAAGATTATCGATGAAGATGGTCGACGACTCCTAGTGTAGATTTGGAACCCCCCCCCCTCCGGATGTGTGTTGTTCTTGAGTATGTATGTTCATAAGCATGTGTATGTGTGTGTGTTTAGAAAATATTATGTGTGTTTTTCTTGAGTATCTATGTTCATAAGTGTAGGTGTGTTTTGAAGAAGAAGTCCAAAAAATTTGATGAGTGTATGCGTTTTAAAAAAAACCCAGAAAATCTGATGTGTGTATATGTTAATAAAGATATGTATGTTCTTAACTGTGTATTGGTGTTCATCAGATTTTCTTGAGTTCTTGAAAGACAAACCCAAATATGAGAGAGAGAGAGAGAGAGAGAGAGAGAGAGAGAGAGAGAGAGAGAGAGAGAGAGAGAGAGAGAGAGAGAGAGAGAGGAGGTGGCCCTCTTATTTTTTAAAATTTTAAATAAATAAATAAGTATTAGGTTTAAAAAAAATGAAAGAAAAATAGAAATAAATACTCCAAGGGTATAACAGTCATTTAAGTTTACTGAGAGACCAAATACACAATGAAATTAGCTCAAAAGGATCATCGAAGCAAAAAACATTTAGACTAAACCTCAGAAAAAAATACATACTATAACGACATTTTTGCAGTTCTGGGTAGACCAATAACCTAGTAAACCATAAACTTTCTTTTTGCCAAACACCCCTAAATCTAGACTTCCCAATAAAATAGTCTAATAAAAGAGCCACTATAAGCTTGTGTTTGACAACTCTAAAATATTAAAATTTGGGGTTGAAGTTTTCAACCCTAACTTTTGTCAATCCTCAACCCAATTTTTCATTGCAAAGAAAAAAATGGAAAAATTCCTCCGTCGCTAACATTGCCTTACCGTCACTAGCAGGCGGAGTTCTCGATCTTCTTCATCAACATCTCTTCTTTCGATTTTTACTTTTCAATCAAGCATGGATAAATCATAATCCAAGACAAATTAATGTGAACAATATTTGAAAAAGAAAAGTTGAATTAGCATCAAATATAGAAATTATACTCCCTAGATCTGCGGCGAAGAATACTTTTGTGACTGGAAGTTCAATCGCAGACTGTAGAACGATTTTGCAGCCGAGCAGAGTTTAGTTCGAGATTTAGCAACGAATTCGATTTTAAGCGACGATTTCTGCTTGTTATTAAGGTGATAGATCTCTTATCTTAATTAAAATTTCACCATTTCCTTCATTAATATGTCGTCTGCGGAATAATCGACGCTAATTTTAGTCTGAGTATTTTTCATCTTCAATTAGGTATCTAATAAGCTTTTTTTTTCTTCTGAGAGAACGTAATGAATGACATAAACATTGTGATTTGTGAAGCTGAATGTTGTGTTTGTACTTGTAAATGTTAGGGGATAACTGACCCTAGTTTGAAAGTACATGTTCTCTCACATAATATACATATTCTTTTTTGTATAAGTCAAAAGAAAAGCAAATAATTGATTTCCCACAAATTTATTATACTTTAGGTTAAATAATGGCTTCTCACATATTAATTCATTTGTAGTTATTAATCGGATATGTCTGTTCTCTGGTTTGTAGATGCTTTTTGTTAAGATTTATAATCCACACCCCCTGTTATTTTTTCAGTCAATGTCTGTGTGTCTTAAAATAGTGTAAAACTAATTTTAAACATCTATAAAATTCTGTTATTGAAGTATTGTAGCTAAGCACACTAAGACTGATGTCAATGGGACAAACTGTGCAACTTTTTGTCCCACATAAATGATCTCTTGTGCGAAAGAAGTGAATGCCCTTTTTATCCCACTCTTCATCATCATCATTGAAAATAGCCCTGTGTAACAAACACAGCCTTGTAGGTGTGAGTTTAGAAGGGCATTCACGTCTTTTCCATGGGGAGCTTACAACCATTTTGCTTGTTTGTTACTGTTACTGTTATGAATTTGGCCATGGTTTAGGCTTTTAGTTGGTATTTGTCATCATCAAACAACCTAACTCTCTGGTTTATCATGTCGTGAAGAATTCCTCCCTCTTTTTTATGATTGGATGTGATTTTACCATTTACCTATTCTATTTGCTCATCTACAACATCAACTCCTTCACAATCATCATAAGTAGTCTCAAGAATCTACCTATACTATTACCTTTTCCTCTTCCTTTCACACTTGTCTATTTTTGGGAATCCATGAATATTATGTTTCTTTTTTCTTTTTGATGAACTGAGATGGCCAAAAGGGAAGATGGAAAGAGGGAAATGCTCCAAGTTTCTTAGATTGCCAAAAAGGAAGATAAATATAGAGAGGCTCACCATCTATTTGGAAATAATATGTTTCATTTTGGAAATCATTTGTGCCATTCTCTAAGCATATATAACATCATAAACATGGATGTAATATTTCCATCATATTAATGTGGAAAACAAATTTGAAATTTCTTTCTTGTAACCTTTCTAATGGCTTATAAGGTCATTTTTTTATTGTACAACATTATTGAATAGCTTCAATAATAATTTCATGCCACCTTGTTTACGTTTTATTGCATTCTAATATGAAACAAAGGCGTATATTATTCTGTTTCAGATCACTAAAAGGGCGATATTGTAAATTTGTGATGCATTGATCCAAGGTTATTGAACCATGAAGAAGCCAAAACAGGTTAATAAAAGGAGTCAGAAGCATGAAAACGATTGGTTCAATGATGTTCTTGATGAAAACAAAAAATTAGCAATCCCAATTGGACCACGTTTTCAAGCTGACGTGGCGGAGTGGACGGGCCCACCTCAAAGAAAATACCCCCACAAAAGTCTCACAAAGTCAACATCATCAAAGTATTTAGGCACTGTGATTTGGTCAAACAAAGAAACAACACCAGAAACAGAAATTGGGAAAGGGAGACCTGAAAACTGTGATTGTCATTCCCCAGGAGCCATTTCCTGTGTTAAGCGACACATTGCTTTAAAAAGAACGCGTCTTCAAAAAGATCTGGGACCCGCTTTCCATAAATGGAAGTTTGATGAGATGGGAGAAGCTGTTGCCAAGCTATGGAAGTACTCAGAGCAGCAGAAGTTTATTCAGATTGTGAAAAGGAATCCGATTTCTGAAGGTAATAACTTTATAAAACTTGCCTTAGAATCTTTTCAATCAAAGTCATGGAAAAACATAGCCAGCTATTACTTCAATGTATACCTCCCTAGACGCATAAGTGCAAAAACTAGGTCAAGAACTGGAACTGTAGACACAGATGATGAAGAAGAAGAAGAGAAAAAGATCACCCCTTGTTCTAAAGGATCAAGAAAGAGGGCTCAGGTTGATGGTGTAGGGAACTCTTCTAAAATTGGAAAGGTTGGTTACTTAAGTGGAAGAAGATGAATATATATATATATATATATATATATATATATATATATATATATATATATATATATATATATATAAAGCTGAGGGGAATCTTTTTGCACAAGTTCGGTTTTTTCTCACCAGTAATGTTTTTCTTCCTTCTCTAATTCTCTTGTTTACTTTTGCCTTTAATATATATTGCCCCAAATAAAAATCATATTAGGGGAATCTATAGTCAAGGTGGATAACTTTGGATAGAATCATTTTTCCTTAAGGTCCATAAATCAAGCTTCATAGTCTTGCTTGCTATACACCCAATGCCTATGGTATGCCATGGTTTATAGTGGACCTATTTTGATTTTGATTTTAATGTGTTGGATTTTTGAAATTTTAGTTCTAAAAAGTTTTGGCTATAGGAGCCTAATGGACAAAGTTCATGGTTTAAGCATAAGTTCTTGAAAGCCCTATGGGGTAGCATGATTCTCTAGTGCTATCTTTGCAAAAACAAGGAAATGGTTAGTGTTGGAGTTCCAATTCTAATGTGAATTTGGGCTTCTTATGGGATTGGTGTCAATCATGTAGTGGGCTTTCTTTTACGTGATTTACATTTCACATAATGCTCTTAAAGTGAGGTGATGTGGGCTAGTTGAGGTGTTGTTGGAAGAATGGCCCCTTTGCATAAGCATAAGTGCTTAAAAAGGATATCATAAGAATTAAATTAGGTATTTATCGAGAACCATCAATTATAGGTTACATGAGGAAAGTATATCGTTTGTTGAGACTTAAGAGGAGACCTCATTCTATATTGTTCGTTGTTAAAATCCCTAGTTTTGGATCTACCTAAGGCCGTATTCCTTTTTTATTAAGTGTTGTATAGTGAAAATGTTGTCTAGATAAATGATGTTTAAAAAATATGAAAAAATGACAACACACTTGGCAGAGTTAGGGAAAATTTATAAAAAAAAGTTTAGGACTTAATGAGGGAAATCTCATAGTCTTTCTTGATATAGTCGTTCTTTATCTATTAATTAAAAAATAAACAACCGTATTTGGATAAAGTCTTGCATGCATTAAGTCCATCGACTAAAAAGGGAGACATCACCTTAGTATAATGTGAATATTATGACAAAAAAAAGCTCTACTTAGAAGTGCTTTGGCTAGAGATGGTGATGTAGTGACCGTAGGTAAGGTCACATTGATGGTGATTAATTGAATGTAGTGGTTGATGGCATCACTAGTTTTCTATGTGGATAATGGTATTGTTAGGATATGATATTAGGAGACTATAACTTTAAATTTTTCATCAAAAGTGACTTTCCAAACCAAGCATTTTGAGTTGTCTCAAACTCTTTAGTCTACTTTATAGGTGTTAAGGTGTTTATATCAATGAAAAGTATTCATTTTGCTAGATGAAGTGTATACTTGATATCTTGGATGAAGTAGGAATACTTGGATGTTGTATGATTGATTATTCAATGATTTCGAGAGTGTAACTGTCACTCGTGGCTCATGTTCAATACCGGGGATATAAATACAATATCTTGAGAGCAAGGAAAGTGATGTTCGTGCTTGAATAAAGATCTTACTTAAATTGGCTTTTGGTATAACTAAAGAAATATGGATGTCATTTTTGACATCGATTTCCTATCTAATCATATTAAAACACCACTCTTTCTTTTCTAGCTTTCTTATAAGCCTTGATATCGTTAACGATTTAGTAGTCGTCAATGTTCATTTATTCATTGTAACTTCTTGTGTCTCGATGCCTTCCCATCATTTGATTCATTCAATTTTTTTTTAACAACAAATCTAATCTACTCTTAAACTACTTCTTAATCCCATCTATGTCCATGACGGGACTTATACCCTCAACCTCAAGGAGGAAGGACAATACTTATTACCGCTGGGCTAGAAGCCCCTTTGGTGATTATTCAATTTCAATCATAAAAAATGCAACACTCAAGCTCAATGATTCGTTGAAGCATTGACGATGTCGTTCATTTTGATACATTTTGTATAGGTAGGTGTGAAAGTCCCTAATTAATTTTGAATCAAGAAGAAAGTTTTACATAGACGTAGCGGGTAAACGAGCAACAAGCTGTGCCGCAACTCCCTTTTTGGATGGCAAAACTAATTCTTTTAAAAACATCTATAGATCTTGGAGCCATAACATTACTATGCATGATCCGTTGGACTCTATTGACTAGCTCCACAGACGCAATATTTTGATCTTGTCATAATTGATAAGAAACATTGTTTATGATATAAAAATGTGTTAAAAGTGCACATTGTGAGGGAAGGTGTTTAATAGAGGTGAGCAAAAAACTGAGTCAATTAAAAAATATATAAAAAATCGCAACAAATTGAAACCGATACTGCGAAACCATTGCAAAAATGTAGGGTGCGGTTTTTAATTTGTCAAAAATGAACGAAGTTGGTTTGGTGTGGTTTTACCTTAGAAACCGGTCCTCAAAAATCGAACTGCACCATTATATTTACATATATGTTATATATTAACTTATTTATAATATTATTAGTTAATTGATATTTATTTGACTTTAACTAAACTAAAACGGCTTGACTCAATCCTTCTTTGTCACAAGGGTCTTGCTTATGATTGAGCTTGTGGATGAAGACTATGATTTCACCAAACTTTTGATTGGGCAAAAAAATTGCTTCATGTTTCTTGGCTAAGTTGTATTGGTTAAAGTGCTAAAGGCTATAATTTTAATGGAAAAAATGATTCGCTTTTGATCTCTTGTAGTTTAAAACCACACTACAATAGAAAACCGCATCATTTCATTATGTGCTGTGAAACCAAAACCACAATACATGAAACCACACCATTTGAAAGATAGTACATCACGGTTTTAAGATTACAAAAACCGATGCGTTTGTTTTGCGGTTCGGTTTTAACCTAAAGCTACATCATGCTCACAATTAGTGTTTAATGATCTTATAATTTATTAAGAAAGATGCAACCACAAACTTGATAGATATAAAAAGGGAAAATGACGAAAAAAAAACATTATATTTTTCCAAAAATCCAATTTAACCATCAATTTTTAATAAGTTCCAAAAAACCATCACTTTTGGTAAAACGTTGTAGTGCGACAACTATTACCTATTTGAACCAATTTTAATTACAAAAAAAACACTATTTTTCTAAAAGTTCAGTTTAACCATCAATTTATGGGTGGTTTTTTTAGCGCAAATGCAGGTCATAGTGGCTGTGATAAAAAAAAATGGGTGGTTTTTTTAGTACAAATGAAAATTTGGTGGTTAAACAAGAAAAAATAACAAGATATAGTGGTTTTTTCGTCATTATATACAAAGTATTTACAACAAGCACAACCATAAATAAATGAGTCTTTGCTTATCCCTACTATTCATAATTTCCACCAAGAAATTTTTAGATTTTTCTGGTGAAAAAGGTAAAAGAGTTTAAGTAAAAAAAAATAGAGTAAATTATACGGATGGTCCCTGTGGTTATGTGTTACTTGCACGTTTGGTCCCTAAAAAGTGTTTTTTAACTCGGACCATCCCTGAAACTTTAATTTGTTACCCGCTCAGTCCCTCTCTTAACTTATCCGGCTGTTTAGTTGTTAGAAACCTCCATACTGGGGGCATTTTTGTCCTTTCACCTTTGCCACTACTTTAAAACCCACCCCTTCCTCGTTCTTATTTTCTCAGTTTCCATCGCCTGTATCAGTTGTGTTCATCGCCTGGAATCTGCAATTAATTCCTCCCGTATAATCGATTGAACTTATATCATCAACTGATTTCTATTCCTTGGAAAAAAACCATCTATTGACAGCGGATTTTAGGGTTCATCCTTCATCATCATGTTCTTTAAATTTCCTGTTCTATCCTTGTGTCTATAATGATTATTTGAGGGTCCTGTTTGATCTGAAAATCATTTGTGGTGTTAATGTTTAGGACATGATTGTCATTTGGGTTACTGAGCTGATTTTCGTTTTTTTTTTTGTTTTTCTGGGTGAATTGACTGATTGAGCATACATGGTTTGAAGTTGTTTTCAATGTTGATGATATTGCTGAAACATGAATAGTTCTCTGATTTTGTTGGTGAATCGATGGAATATTTTGAAATTAGGGTGCTGATCGAATTTGAGTTTCATAGGAAATAGTTTCGCTGAAGTCGATCTGTTCGACATTTGACTGGCTTTCGATGGGGCCTCATAATTGATTTCTTACGGAGATGATATTTCGAACTATAGAGGATGGATCCAAATTGATTCTCGTTTTGTGTTTCAATGATGATGATGAAGTTTCGATTTCTCAATCGTATGTGTTTTCATTGAAGTAAGATCAAGAAGCAGATGCGATATATGTTTCGATTGGTTAAATTTTGAAAAATATGGTCAAACCAATTTATTGATGTTCGTTGATATATCTCGCTTTCGTTTTATCCAAATTTCGATTTATTGATTCTTTTGTTTCGTATCAATTTCTTCAGCAAAATCAAACGAATTCTGGTAAAAACTGGTGTGCGAATTATTGACTTCTTCAATTAAGCAATGTTGAAAATCATACGATAATGTGCTTTCCTACTTTTGCATTTTTTGGGATGTTTTTGAAGAAAGTTACATTTAAGCCCCTCCAGAGGTGAAAGGACAAAAATGCCCTCAATGTATGGGTTTCTAACAGCTAAACAGACGGATAAGTTAACAGAGGGACTGAGCGGGTAACAAATTAAAGTTTTGGAGATGGTCTGAGTTAAAAAATCTTTCTAGGGACCAAACATGCAAGTAACACATAACCACAGGGACCATCCGTGTAATTTACTCAAAAAAATAAGACTTCTTCATGAATCGGACCAAATAATGAGACTTTTATCGAGTTACCAGGGTAAAAAATAGTTTACCGGTAAAAAATGTTAATTTGAATTTTTTATTTGGTAATCGAGACTTTTTTATAACAAAATAAATTTTGAGATTTTTTCATAAATCGAACCAAAATATTAAGATTTTTTTTTTGAATATTTCCTTTATATTTATTGAAAAAAAATTAAT